TCTAGGTTAGTATTTAAAAGGCTCGTCAATGATTCTTAAATGTGTCATTAGTGGCTAATTCGAATGAATTTGTATGATCTCATTTGTACAATTTAGTATGATTGTTTATCCTCCAATGACATTTGGGTTTAGGGGTGGGGTTTGGTGACACGCCTCCTTTTTAAAACTTTAAATTTTTGTATTACTAAACTCGTGGGTATTAGCCACAAAACTGACAAACGGTGAAATAGTAAAGTTTCCTCGTGAGATCAGGCTGGCCATTCTAAATTACTGCAAGGGGGGTACTATAAATGCTTTTTACTGCTTGTTCAAACTACTTACATAAAATGAGCTGAATCAACAATTCTTAAAGTTTTTTTGGGGGGATAACTTAATAGTTTTATGTTGAATCCACTAAAACTGGTAATAACAATTAGGTTAACTTAATCAATTTATGTTGAGACATCGTGAAGGAATAGTGTGGAACCCTGCATTTTTACAGTGTATGTTTTTTTTTTTTTTTTTACAAAGGGAGTTATTCCAAAAAATTCACAAAATGGCCTTATATTATAAATATACTTTAATATTTAAAAAAATACTTGATCTTATTTGATTATTTAGCATTTTATTTTTAACCTATATTAAATATAGTAAATAAAATATTTGACTTTAGATGTACAACAAATTTCGCTGTATGTCACATTTCACCATTTTATGTGGACAGATATTATCATGATAAAAATTATGTAACGTCTTTTCACTGATATCAAAAATATCCTAAGTAACAGGAAAATAAAACATAAACATGAAAATATAAATATGTAAAATTATCAAACACCTTTTCCTTCAAAAAATGTATTAAAAAAATAAATGTAAACAATTACAATTCCTGCATGAACATTGAAACTAAGTGATGACTTCTAGTTGAAAATATAAAGCAATAGTGAGTTGGCCATATCCACTTATTTACATTTCACGGTATATACCAAATGTAAAAATATTTTACGGTACACTAGACATGGGCCGATATAAGATTCTAACAGTATGATAACCTTGAATTAAAATATCACGGTTTCACGGTATTGTGCTCACTTCTCTAAAATATATTCTTTTTAAATGTCTGGGTAAAAAACAAAAACTTTTTTCCCCTTTGAAATCATTCATTCATTTATTTTCTTTTTGGCTTAGTCCCGTAATTAATTTGGGATCGGCACAGCGGAATGAACCACCAACTTATCCAGCATATTATGTTTTATGCAGTGGATGCCCTTCCAGCTGCATACCATCTCTGGAAAACCTGTAAAATCAATATATTTTATTTTTTTAAAGATTTATAATAGTTTGTAACTGTAAACACATCAGGCTAAATAATTCAAAAGATTAATTGACTTCTGCTGTCTTCAATTGTATCAAAAACACCGAATTTTTTTACAATTTAAAATGCTATTTTTGGATATTTTTTTCTGCTGAAGTTACTGTTGTCCTAAATATCAAACAAAAAGAAGGAAAAAAAAAAATCTTACACATACCTTGGGTGTATTGCAGAAAATTTTGGCGGTTTTAAAACCCTGACTTATCCAAACCGATGTATTCCTTGAAAACGGTTATCATCCCATACCTATGGTACACATTTTTTTCCACGGTAGGGTTGGGACGATCCGCTTGTTAAATGTGACGTCACGCGAAGCGGCTTTCGGGTCCAAGCGCTCTGTTTAACTGAATGGGGAGACTCATGAAATAGTAATAATAAACATTTACAAAGCGATTTAAGGCTTTCGAAAATCACGATCGCAATATATATGTCCATGCCTAATATCCAATGGCCAGAAAGTGATTAATTTTTTATAAAATGTAAAATTTTTGGTGTTTGTTATGCAGCAAGCCCAGAGATTGTTGTGTACACTATGATTTTATATAAAATTAACTTTAATGTGTGATAGGAATAAAACGTGATCATAAACAAATGATTTCTCCACTCAAATGAATGGCGGCTTAGACCCGGAAACAGTATTACATACGTCACAAACACGTCACCACTTAACAAGCGGATAGACAACATGATGCTGAGGCAACATCTCTGATCCTCTGCCTCACCCCGTCGCAAACCCGCTTGCGAAAAATACACACTTAGGCCCTATTTACACTAATACGTCTTAGTATTAAAATGGCATTTTAGAATGAAAATAATCCACATCCACACCGTGTTTAACCTAGCATTTCCGAACAGTCTGCTGAAAACGCGCATCACTTGACCACACACACACACACACACACACACACACACACACACACACACACACACACACACACACACACACACACACACACACACACACACACACACACACACACACACACACACACACACACACACACACACACACACACACACACACACACACACACGCTCGTCTGAGGAGCTCCAGAGAGCAGTGCACGTCCGACAGTTTATCAAGGATGTACCACTGGATGGCGTTTCACTATAGTTGTTAATACAGTTGTACAGTCTTTCACTTTACCACTACTTATTAATTTTAGTAAAAACCTCAGATATTGTTAATTGTGCACCTTTTTTACTGACCAACCTCCCGCAGAAAAAGTGATTGACAGGTGGTAATTTGTGTAAAACTTATCTTTATTTATTTATGATTTGTTTATGAGTAAAATAAAGACCATGCGGGTCAGGTAGTTGAAATGGTAGACTACAAATAAATTATTCATTAAGGATTAATTAATTATTCAGAAATAATTAATTTACCTCCGCCTATGATGTCGATGCTATTGTCCATTGCAGTGTCTCACATTAGACATCTTACGATGCCAAATTGGTCGACATCGCCCAACCCTATTCCACAGTAATAATATGTTTTATTTTTACGCACAGCCCTACCCTTAAAATTTGCATAAAAATAGTAAAAAAGTACTAAATTACTATTTTATTCAATTGTAAATTTTTATTATTATAATTAATATTAGATAATAAATAATTTAACCTTCAAAATTGTAACAAAAGTTAGTGCTGCAATAATGATAATACCATATTCATCAATTCTATAAAGACAACAACGATAAAAAACCCAAATAAAGTTATCGAATATAATTTAATTTCACAATTCAAAATAAAAGTCTGTATTTATATAATATGCGAGTAGCATTTATATTTGTTTATAGATTAATACGCACAGATTAGAGCTGCTTCAGGATTTATATTCACATCATGTGTAGTGTAGAGTCTGGGTTATAATTTATCATTTCATAAGTGTTTTTGTAGCCTGTGACTGTGTGAGGGTTTTAAAAGGATTGAGGCCTATGAAATTGTACCGTTTGTAATTTTGACAAGTTAATAATGATTAATTTTATTTAATTGTTTATAACGAAAACTATAAGGTATTATTTTACATTTGATTATTCAATTACTGTATACCTGTAACTGTTACAATAAAACAATACAACAAAGTTTTTTTTATTTATATATTATCTTTATTGTATTTATCTTGTAGATTTTTGTATTATATTTTATGCACTCCTATACAGAATCATCCCAGTCAATCTAAAATTATAAATTCTTTTTAAATGGTTATTCAACTCCTCATGTAGCGATACATAAATCGCAGAATAAATAAATACTGCAATGTAGGTTTATTTTCAATATCGTGCAGAAATAACAAAAATACAAAACTAAAATATTTACTTAGAAATCATTTGTGTTATATATATAAATATTTGCTAGATAGTTATAATTAAAGCTTTAAACATGTATACATTCAAAGCCTGCATAATGAATATGCACAGTACACAATCATATATTATGTAAATACAAACGTTTATTTTGGACTTGATTAATCATTTGACAGCACTGTTATGATTTCTAAAGGCACAGTAGGTTCGAGCCTTGTTGGGTCAGTTGAAATATCTGCGTGGAGTTTGCATGTTCTCCCCGCGTTCGAGTGGGTTTTCCCTGGGTGCTCTGATTTCCCCCACAAATCCAAAGACAAGTGGTGAAGGTGAATTGGCTAAGCTAAACTGTCCGTAGTGTGAGTGTGAATGGATGGTTTTCAGTGATGGGTTGCAGTTGGAAGGGCATCAGCTGCGTAAAAACATGCTGGACAAGTTGGCGGTTCATTCCGCTGTGGCGACCCTAGATTAATAAAGGGACTAAGCCAAAAGAAAAAGGAATGAATGAGTGAAAGTCTGCATTCTGGAATGGGAATGCTTCTCTGATTGGCTTAGGCAAAATATGCTTAGCCACAGCCCACAAACTGTTCATTTGCTGACAGTGATAGATTAGAGGGGGAGCTCAAAAATAAAACCCACATATTTGATGTGCAAAAATGACTAATCATGATAATAACTGCTATTTGCTTCAAATTTGTTGCAGTCAGATTTAATAGGCAGTACATTTTGTGAAAAAAACAAAATAAAAGTATTATACACACAGTGACTAAAAGAAATACTGATGCTAAGGGACACAGGACCTGATAAATCTTTCATCAGCCTCTGTCCACTCTAGTGAACAAAAGTAAAAACAAAACTGTCCATGAAATAATTTAAAATCTCCCATTTTGATCTTGTTGTGCTTTTAATCTAGAAAGTGCCTATGCAAGAACAGCCACATACGACTTCAACAACAAAACAAGACAAAATGTACCATAAACCCCAGTTATATAGATAACAAACCATCCAAATATCTCAGGAATAAAATCATTCAGACACAGCTGTCTCATCAGTGATTCAGCATCTCTAGCCAGCTAAAGTCAGACCACATTATTCTTACGCTTTTTCTTTACGGTTTCCTCCAACTACACGTTTAAACAATGAAATAACTGCCATGACAAATATTTAAATGTTGTTTTTCATCAAATGTCAAAAAGACTACTGTTAGCATTAGCGTACTGTACATGTCACTGTTTATTTTACGTGTTTGTAACACAACACTGAAACAGTCATCCTACTTTGCACAAAACACACGTCCAAAGAGCACATGATTATAAATATATAACATTAACGCAGGCATTACATACCTGTTCCGAGAATGACAACATCAAATTGAGACGGGAGATCCTCCGCAGCCATCTTGAAACCACACACACTGTCACGTGACACACAGCAGCCTGACGTAAACTTCTGGGTTAAAAAAAAACCTTGATATTTAAGCACGACAGCAGCTTTAACCCTTAAAGACCTAGAGGTATTTTGAGGGCACCTAATGGGCCTATATTATTATTATTTTTTTAAAGCAGTTTTATTTTTATTTTAGCAGTCAGACTCAAGTGTCATATATTATTTTAAACAGGAGAACCTGAAGTTTCAATCTGCATCATTTAAAGGTCCAGTCTAAAACTTTTTTTGGTCCAAAAACATATGAACAGACAGAAAATATTCCAGAATTTTCCAGAAACGATTTTTAAAAAAAGTGGCATTTTCTAGTTATTATAAACAAAACCTTATGAAGTTTGTTTTTCTTTCTTTAGAAATACATATTATGATGTTTTATATTTCCACAATAAATTTTGTCTACATCCACCATTCCCTGAGCAAGTTATAGCAATTTATTTCAATGTTATTTCAAGGCGTTTTTCAATGGGGGGAAAAATGCATTTATTTACTGACAATGTATTTGCCCAAAAGTTCTGGGAATGAACTAAACAGAAAAAAAATGTTACAAAATAACAGAACACTGAAGCAAATTTGACTTTTTTCCAAATAATATATTTTTAGTTACCATAAACAACACCACTTATAATAAACAAATATAAAATAAGAAAATAATAAATAATGTGTCAAAGTCCAAATAAACATGGTGCAAATCCTCAGTAAAAAATAGATATAAATATTTACTATACTATAAATAGTTACATAACTAAACTAGATTCAATATGGACCATCCTTAGGTTTTATGTGCCAGCATGGATATGGTTGTCTGCGGATATGTATATGGTTCGCGTGCAATGCAGACAAACAGCCCAACCTTTATTTGCGTCCTTTGAAAACAACAAGAGCAGCACTTCGTCTTTGCTGTGTCACTGTTTTGTCATGTTTTTGTGCTGTTGTGCATGCAAAAGTACTTAGTATGAGAATTATTTCATGCAAAACTTTTTTTTTAGCGTTTTATTTAGCCATGCGTAAATGTGCAGCCTATCTCTCATTCCGTGTTGTTCAAATAGCTGATTGTTGGTTCACAAAGCGAAACCTAAGCTTATTGGTTGAGATAGAGCGAGTTTGAACCAATCTGGGCATGGAGGAGGGACAATGCATCCATATATCATGTCTGGTTTGTCCGGAGAGACAAGTGACGAGCGTTCCTTTGTCAAATCAGCGCTGTCAAAATTTGATGACGTAACCACACTGATTCCGGAGCCTCTGAAAGTCCGTGAATGTAATGTGATACAGCGATGGAAAGCTGAGAGTCTCTTCTTTATGCCAATCTTTGAATTGTATGGATCGGATCAGCGGATCAAAAGTTATTAAACATTTAAGAGCAATACTTATTTTTAGCCGCGGGCGGCTGTCTCGGTCTTTAAGGGTTAAAAACGCAACATAATGCTTTATAAGCTAAATATTTAAGCTATTGATTTACTAACTAACACAGTGACGGCCGGTTCATAAATATAAAAGCAGTTATTAATAATTTCAGTTGTAACATAGATCAGTTCCCAAACCTTTTGCTGTTTGCATCCCTTTCTTATATTTGACACCTGCCAAGCACCCCTTTTCTCCGATTAAACTCGACATTTTAAACTACAATAACTAAATGCACATATTTTCTTTATATGTGATTAAAATAAAAACAAGCTTTTATGAACTTGACAATTTCACATTAAGAACCAATAAAAGTTCATCAGGCATTTTTTTAATTGCTAGAGCTTCTTTGTGGATGTGGCACATAGATATATACATATATAGCCTATCTATGGATGTGGCAGTGTACTCAGGAAACCAATGTTGCAACTTTTTACTGCTCCTGTGTGCCTATTTTTCTTCTTCTGCAGTTCCTCCAATTTTCCTTAAAAAAACGTACAGGCATGTTTTGTAAGTGGCTGTGTCTTGTTTGTTAGTGCCGGACCATATATGACGCTAAGACTGCTATTAGCTAAAACCACCACAGACTGATTTGGATGTTGGTTCTCTGCATCTCCAATCGCATGCAAAATCTCTCTATATTTGGGTTTCTTAACATTTTCTCACTCTCTAGCAAAGGCCTAATTCTCTTCATTAGTACATCTCTGCTGGATTCCTCTGTTTCCGCCTGCGCCTCTTCACGTTGTTGGTTATCCTTCGAGTCCATGTATTCAAGGCCGCTACACATCTTTATGGAAGAGGTCGATGTAGATGGTTCATCCCTACTGTCGCTTGACTTCTTTAAAGTGCCAGTTTTTAACCAGGTGTCCATTTTGATGAATATAGTAAGTGGAAAAAACTTTACGAATGGAAAAAATGGAAATGGAATGGAAAAAATTGTGAATTTAGTCTACTATCATTTAGCGCCTATGGGAACATGTGGGCTTTTGTGACATACTTGAAACTGCGAGATGAGTGAGTATGCATAGGTTGTAAATTACAATTTGTAATGTGATTTTTTCTCTCAGTGAATTTGTTTTCTCTCAAAAATATGACATTTTTAGTTTACCCAAAAGAAATGCATGAAAATAATAAAATATAAATTTTTTCACCATTACAAACGTTCTCTCGCGCACCCCTGGTGGTCAGAATGTCCACCCCAGTTTGGGAACTATTTTTCAACTGAGAAGTTACGTCTAAAAAATTGCAATCTAACAAGTTATTTCATGCCCAATGAAAAGTTTTTATGATCTTTTCTTAAAACCAAAGCAAGTTCAAAATATCCAGCTTATGACACCTTCGTAGCAAGATTGAAAAGAGAAAAGGAGTTCTTTAAATTTGATAAAAATGACACTTTTTTTTCTTCGCCGATGGCTTATGTTCCCAGCTGCTGTCAACAACAGAATATTGTTTCTTCAAATAGCAGTAGTTGGCAAGAGGTGTTAATGATGAGCTGTCAAAATACCCTTCTGGCTTAAAAGGCACTGACAGCCAGCTATCAAGATGCATTTAAAACAAAAACACATCTTAAGACCCCTAACTGTTCATTATTAGAAAAATTAAAGTTGAGTTCAACAATAGCCTATCTGATATGTGTTTAAATACTGAAATGACAAAGGAAATATGATTTTTAAGTGGCAAAGGTATTAAAAAGCTTCTTTTTACAGCATTTGATTTTTATTCTTTTTTTTTTTTTTTTTTTGGCTAAGTTAATTCATTAATCTGGGGTTGCTACAGCGGAATGAACCGCCAACTTATCCAGCATATGTTTTATCAGTCATTTTTACTGAAATGCCATTACACTGATTTAAAACAGCCTGTATAGAAGAAACATAATTTAGTTTAATTAACCTAAAATCATATGTTGTCATGACTTATTGATTAACTGCACAAAAAAGGGAACACTTGGAGTTAAATGTGTTGTTTAAGTGTTCCATTTATTTATTTGAGCAGTTTTTTTTTTTTTTCATAATTTATAAGTTTTCTTATTTCTCATTGAAAGTAGTTTGGATTTATTCTGTTGATGTTTTTAGTTAGTTTTGACAACCTAAGATTTGAGACCAGATACTAAATTTTACAAATTTGTTTCTTTGAAGGTGTCCTTGTTTCAGTTTAACTAATTTTACTAATGATGAGCAATAATATTTAATTGCACGTACTTCCTATGGTTAAGATCAGGGTGAGGGTTAGGTCTAGGATTGGATAAATGTAATTATGCAAAACAAATTGTATTTACCATAGTAAGTACAAAATGCAATGACAAAAAGTAAATAATTTAATGTTGCTTTATCTTGTTTTAACATGTTAACCACGTTTCAAATACATTTTTACAAAGTTAAACTTAATATTTTTAGTTAGTTTGATTGATGATAGTTGAGATTAGAAAAGTTAAGTAACCAATTAATTACTGGCTTTCTTACTTAAATGTAAGGCAGAAAGATTTTTTTACGGTGTGGAACAAGTGCAACAACACTGTAAAAAAATGATTTGTTCACTAAACTTAACTTAGTTAAGTCATCTTGTTGCATTGACTTGGTTAAGCTTACTGTAAAAAATAAATCCGTAAAATTTACGGTAAAAAAACGGCAGCTGTGGTTGCCAGTACTTTACCGTTAAAAACACGGTATAAACCATAAAAGTAATTTTTAATTTTTGCGGTAAATTACCGTATTTTATTCATTAATAGAGGTAATATGTCTGTATTTTGAATGATCAACATCTACACATCTTTTGTTACACAGTTAGACACATTAACACACCCACATGCAGGTGGTGATGAGGAAGTTACATCAATGCTCATCACAATTCACTTTTTTCACAAGCAGAAAAGAGTATCAGCACATAGAAGGTGCTCAGTGTCATCCACACAGCTACTAAACACCAGTATGGTAACACACATAAAATTAAAGTCATGAAATAAACATTGTTTATCAACATTAGATGTAATATAAATATCTAATGTACATAACTGATGGGAAAACAACTAAAAAGATCCAGATTAATGTCAACCAAATGCATAAAAAATTATTTGCCATGCAGGGAATTCGGGGAAAGTCAATTTACGGTTATTCGCCGTATATATTAAGGAAACATACCGTTAACCAGGTTACAGATTTTTACTGTAGCATTTTTACAGATTTTTACCGTTGAAATCACGACCATTTTTTACAGTAAGTTTTCTCAACCTAAAATGTTTCGTTGACAGAGTTAAATAATTGACCCAACTACTTATTTCAAGTTAACTGGACTTGCAAAGTTCCGTTTTAATAGGTTAGCTCACATTATTAAGTTATCAGAACTTGACAAGTTTAATTACGTTAACTTACATTTTCAAGTTCACTAAACTTAATAAGATATTTTCTCAATTAGAAACAGAACATACAACAAAATACATTACACATTTTATTAAAGGTCTTTACTGCCAATTTAGCAATTACACAAAATGTACTTAATATACAGTAATTGTCTTTACAAAGTTTTGTTCTTATAAAGTCATTTTTACAAAGTAAAAGTAATCTCAAAAGTCAAGTAAA